TCTGTCAGGCCCTCAGTTGCTTTGTCCCAGGTGTCCAGATTCAGCCGCTGTTGAAACTGATCAGCGGCTGATTTCAGGAAGCCTGGGGCAGAGCAGCTCTGCCCCGGGCTTCCTTGAATCAGCCACTGATCAGTTTCAACAGCGGCTGAATCTGGACACCTGGGACAAAGCAGTTCCGACTTATATACAAATTCAACTTAAGAACAAACCTACAGTCCCTATCTTGTACGTAACCCGGGGACTGCCTGTACTCCAAAAACACTAGCTCTCACGGGAGGGGAGGGGAGTGCTTTTTATCCCCATTTTATAGACCAACTTTGAAAAGGGAGATGGTGTCAGATTAATTATGAGAACTCTGGTTTTTGGGTACTTGCCTGTGGTCAGATTATGCCATTCATAAAATATAATCCTTTCAGAAAGCAATTATTTGTTGTCTGTACAATAAGAGGGTTGTTGGATCTTTCATGTCCTTTCTGATCTCTTATATAACTAATTTCTCTATTTGAACAAAGTGAATTCTTTATTGGTCAACAACGTGAAGCTATGAATAACTATGATCAGCCAGTATTTAGATTTGATTCTGGAAATTAGCAAAATTCTATAGTGCTTTTGAAATGACATCTTTGGGAATTACCTATCTAATGTGTAAAAACTGCCATGGTAATAAAAAGTATTATTCTTTGGTTGCATAGAAGGAAACAATTGTTAATCTTGTTAAATCCTTTTTTCCCTTTTGCTTGCCTTTTAAACTGGCCTTTCTTCTAAGAAAATCTTTTGCTGTGATTTCACATACTTTCCTCTCTTGACCTCCTTTTCTATAGATTCCAAGGTCAGAAGGCGTTACTGTGATTCTTAGTCTTTATAAAGCAGAGCACCCACTATTTTTTCTCTCTGGGGTGCTGGAGCACCCATGGAGTTGGCACCTCTGGGCATACTTGCAGGATTATGTAACTCTATCCTAGGAAGCAGGGACTATGAGATAGACTTAAGGTTGGAGGGAGCTAATCAGCTAAAAATGAGCTCCTAGTGTGATGCTGTGGCCAAAATAGCTAATGCATTAATAATTGAGCAGCTTCATTTTTTTGCCAGAGATTTATGTCTGGCTGATTAGACTTACAATTTACTCTTCGCATCCCATATACCCTTGATAAAATTGGTATAACATTAGCTTTCTTCCAGTCTTCTGGAACTTCCCTTGTGCTCTACTTACTAAAAATCAACATTAATGGTCCAATGAGTTCCTCAGCCATCTTTTTTAAAAATCATGGATGTAAGTCGTGGTTTAGTAGTTGTTTCTCATCCTCCAGAGATACTAGTGGAATGAAAAGAGTATTATCACCATATGATGAGCTTATACTTTTTTTTTTTCACCGAATACTGAACTAGTTATAACTGCATTCTATTGATGATACCACCATTTCCATTTAGTAATAGATAACACCACTGATCAGATTCTTTTTGTTCTTAATGTATTTAAAAAAACCCTTATTTTCCATAACTCTGTTGGCTGCTATAATTTGTCCCTGTGCCCCTTGGTTTCCCTTATCAACTTCTACAATAGTTAACCTTTGATTATATTCATGACCATCAACTTCCACTCTCTACCATCTGTGTGTGCTTCTGTGTGCTTCTGTGTATTTTAAAATAATGTAGTTAACTTGTAGTTAATATGTAGTATATTATCTTATAGCTGCCTTCACTTCCCCATAAATCAGATTAGCTCTTAAATAGCACACCACTTTTCCTTGACTGTATTGTGACTTTTTGGGCGTCTAATAGGTGTTACAAAATTATTCCCAATCATTCACATTTTTCTGATTTAAATTCTTATTCCCAGCTGATTTAGCTCATAATTGTTTTCAGATTTGGTACTTCAGTAGGGCCAGTTTTAATGGTGTGTATATGTGTAACTGTATTTTTTTGTAATCTCTCCGGTAGGAATAGCCTTCACAAAGGATGGTCGCTATATGGCATTAGCAGAGAGGCGTGACTGCAAAGATTTCATTAGCCTCTTTGTATGCAGTGATTGGCAACTACTGAGGGTAAGAAGTGTCCTTGCCTATTGCAGCAACTGCACAAATTTAAAGAATTCTCTGTAGTGTAGAGTATAACTACATTATTAAACAATGGTAATACCTCACTTTAGACTTGGCAATACAGGGCATTTTGTCTGGCTCTTTCATTGGCCTGCAGGTGTATTAGAAACCAGACAAACGCTGCTCAGAAAACAATATACAGTAAGGATAAAGCATAGCATTTTTTACATTAAAATGTTCTGGCTTAATCTGAATAATCCTGTTGACAGTAAAATACATTCCAGAAGCACCATGATCAGAACTAGCTTTTGCCAAAATGATGATCTGAACAGGTAGTTGCAACATAAAAGAATTTTTTTTAAATTAAAAATGTACATCTTCAAAAGATCTTTCATTTTGTATAGTGTGTTAGGAGGAAATGAGGAAGCAGCAAATGTAGCATATTATAACAAAAGCAAAGGAAATGTTTCTATTTTATGCGGTCAGACATACAAAAGAATGTGCTAATTTAAGATTTTTTTTAAAAATGTGTAATGATAATGTGATACTAATTCAGGATTTTACTTTTTAAAGTCATGTGCAACCATGCATGTTAAGTGCAGTGTTTAAAACTGTTTCTTTTGTTTTGTTTTTGTTTTGTTTTTTGTTTTGTGTTTTGTTTTTGCCTCTGCACGTGGGAAGCATTTTGACACGGAAACTCAAGACCTAGCTGGGATTGAATGGGCTCCTAATGGCTGTGTGTTGGCAGTGTGGGATACCTGTCTGGAGGTATGAGAAAATGCAGATTATTTCTGAAGATCTGGAACACTTAATTAAGGACTCTGCAACAGATATTAAGTCAACTTTTCTGGCTACTACAGAGAATGCAATATCTTAAAACAGAAAATAAAAGGGCTTTAAGAAACAATTTGTAATATTGTACTTACCCATTGGTGATGGGTGTCAAATCTTTAAATCTCCATGTAATGTCATTGTTACCAAATAATCCTTATTATATTTTTCTATAATTTAAGTATATTTTATAAACTTAATTTACAAACTTGGTTTTAAAAAATTGCATAAGATCCTAGGAACTATCCAGATAAATAATTGAAGAATTAATTTGAGAGAGAGAGAAAAGGAAAACTCAATTTTGAACATCTGTACATTTTAGACGGTGTTAAAAAGGAGTTACTTAGTCTCTATCTGTTAGTTTAAGTGTCACTAGTCTTTAAATCAAATCAATTTGTGTTGCAGTATAAAATTTTGCTATACTCCCTTGATGGCCGACTGCTGTCCACATACAGTGCTTATGAATGGTCACTGGGTATTAAATCAATTGCCTGGAGTCCCAGCAGTCAGTTCTTGGCGATTGGCAGCTATGATGAAAAGGTAAAAAAAGGAACTTAAATGAAACCTATTCAAGCCAGTTGCAAAATGTCCAAGGAATCAACTCTTAATACATTTTCCTTGAATTAGGTGCGTATCTTGAACCATGTGACTTGGAAGAAGATTACAGAGTTTGAACACCCTGTGACCATTGCTAACCCAAAGATAGTAAGTATAGAATTGGGATTCATTGGATCATTAGCAGTACAGGTTGAACCTCTTAGATCTGGCAGTGCCCAGGCAGGGCAGCCCTAACCTCCCCTGATCTGGCAAACTCCCTTGTTTGGGACTCGTCTGGTCCCAAGGGTGCTGGATCTGGGAGGGCCAGCCTGTAGTTTGTTTGCTATCTTTGGTAAAAAATGTTTTACTTTGACTCAATTCCTGCTTCCCTGCTGATCTTCAAATGCTATTAAGGAGACTGAATGAAAATGTTAATAAGTAACTAAAAAATTATGTATTTTCATGGGCTTCTCTCAGTACATTCTCTTTTCCTCTCCATCCTCTTTTTTTTTTTTTTTATTCTGTGTAAGAGAATCATGGATAATTATTGCTAAGTGCTAATATCTTCTGCTAAAGGTGATGTTTGTGTTTACAGACAGGATTTCAGGTGGTATTGTACCCAAGTGCTAGGAAGCTGAACATGAATGAGAATTTTGTAACTCTCAGCACTACAGAATTTGCAGTATAAATGGTGTTGGATTTGAAGCGTCTTACGATCGATCTCCCCTAATCTTCATTTGTATAGGCAAATCTATCTCACTTAGGCTATGTCTGCACAGCAGCTTCATTTCAGAATAACTGACCTTATTCCGAAATAACAAAGAACGTGTCTACACTGCAAGCCATTATTTTGAAATAATGGTGAGCTGGAGGACTTCTTACTCCGTCTCCCGTAACCCTCATTTTACGAGAAGCAAAGAAAGTCAAAGGAAGAATGTTCTTCCTTCAACTTCCTGCTGTGTAGACAGCGCCAAAAGCCAAATTAAGCTATTTCGACTTCAGCTACGCAACTGACGTAGCTCAAGTTGTGGTTTAATTAGACTTTTGCCCTGCTGTGTAGACGTGCCCTATATGAACAGTTTCTGTAAATGATTGTCACAAATCTGCTTTTTTTATCCTTTCACATGCAGAGTCCATGGCCACAGTTTTTTGCAGTTCTCGGCAGAGAGATAATTGTATGTTTTGATTCAAAATCACAGGCTTTCTCTGTCCCCGTCCCTTGTGAGGGAGACTCTTCATCAGTTGTAATATTATTAATATAGCCATTAGAAGGGACAGAGAAGATCTGACATGTAATAGAAGGATCAGTGTTTGTGGTGAGCAGACTTAGATTTATATGATTTTTTTTTTAATTTATCATTGTTGCTTATCAAGTACTCTGCCGTGCAGAATATACTTAACTAAAATGTCTCCTTGCTAGAAAGTGGTTTTATCTCTGGTACTTGTCTTTATTATTGTCTGGTCAACATGACTCCAGCATTTCTATTGGGCTACATTCTAGATGTAAATCTGGTTGCCAGACCAAGTGCTACAACAGGCACATGTTAGTTATCCTTCAAATGAGAAACAGATAAAACAGTTCAGTCCCTGTCCGTTGGAAAGACTAGAGCTCCAACTGTACAATTAGTGATGAAATGCTGAAAGCATTTAGCATGACCCCATTAACATTTCTAGTTTGCAGTGGTTCTCAATGGCATGGAATGTTATTTAAAAAAAACAAAAACAAAAAAACAAAACCTCAAAACCAAACAAACAACCCCCCCCCCACCTGTCCTACTGTACTAAAGACAGCGCTGTTATTTTACTAAATTCACTTTCAGTTGGTAATGGGTAGAAAGGTGTACTCTGTTTGACTCTTTACATAGGCTCTCAAATGACAATCGTTGGATTATTTAAATCACTATCTGTTTCTGTTTTATGCAATTGCTTTTTTCTGAATGTGGGCCCAATTTTCAAATACAGACACCATCAGGTTTCAAAATTCAGCATTTCTTGGCCCAGGTCTGCCTGCTCTCAGTGTACTATACCAAACAGCATTGAGAAACCCTGTGTAAATGTATTATGAATGAGCCTTAATACTTGTTTTGACAGTGGGATGTGGAGGAGTCCACAGGGTAGGTTCAAATCTTGCTATAAGCCCTTTTGTGAAACTGTCTTCTCTTTCTGTGCAGATTGTATATAAGGAAGTAGAGAAATGCCCCAGAGTTGAAACGGAGAGCCTTGCCCTCCCTCCAGCCAAAGCGCAAGCCAGCTCTCTCTTCAGAATACAGAGTAAATGTGAGCAAACGAAAATGGGCCACTTTAGAATACTTGTGTTGTAAAACATTTAAGCCATGGCTCTGCCTGTGGGGGTGGGGTGGGGAGTGGCAAACCTTAGGGTGCTAATGGGAAGCCCATTTAATTAAACGCAAAACCTCAAAGAACATGTCTGTCTCGGCTAGAAAAGATGATGGTTGTAGAATGTGGCTAAAAGTGAAGATCAGGCTGGGGATCCAATTGGCTAAATAATAGTTCAGCAGAAAAGGATCTGGGGGTTACAGTGGATGAGAAGCTGGATATGAGTCAACTGTGGGCCCTTGTAGCCAAGAAGGCTAATGGAATATTAGGCTGCATTAGGAGGAGCATTGCCAGCAGATCTAGAGAAGTGATTATTCCCCTTTATTGGGCACTGGTGAGGCCACATTTGGAGTATTGTGTCCAGTTCTGGGCTCCCGACTACAGAAAGGATGTGGATTCATTGGAGAGGGTCCAGCAGAGGGCAACTCAATGAGCTCCTGAGGTCTCTTCCAGCTCCAGGATTCTGTGATCTTAAGGACAATGAAAGGTTCCTGGAGAGGTGTGGCAAACTTTTAGGAGTAAATGTGGGTAGAAGTGACAGACAACACCCTCCTCCCTAATGTTATTTTACTTGTTTAAAATTTGCCTCCAAACAGGGAGATTTTGGCTGATTTAAGTCTCTGCAACAGAGATTACTTGTCTAGTTCTTTGGATAGAACATCCTACCGAAGTTTAAAATATTTCTCTTTACCTATCATTTCAGACATAACTGTTAACTGTTTTAAGGTAGAAATATAATCGCCTTGTCCATGTGAACTCGCTTGTTAAAAGTGCTTTTATTTCAAATTTCAGATGACATTTCCCAGGTACCAGTTTCTTTACAGTGTGTCAAACCGGTTGCTGATCGGGCAAATCCCAGAATAGGAATTGGAATGCTAGCGTTTAGTCCAGATAACTGTTTTCTGGCAACCAAAAATGGTTAGTACCTAATGGACTATATGTTAAAGGGAAACCCTTTTGGTTTTGTTTAGGTCTTGTGTTTGTACTATAAATATACAAGTATATTTGTATTCAAGTCACAGCTAGTGTCCCAGTTGGGATTGAGGCTCCATTGGGATAGCACAGAGGAACTTCAACCTTTACCATAAACCACTAAGCTGTAGAACCAGTTATTAATTGCTGCTCCTGGTGAGGCATGAATTTATAACCTTGGCTTTAAGTATGATGTGGTAAAATATCTCCCTTCAAAATGTGGCTAATTAAGTTAAACGTGTAACTGCTGAAAATCTGATAGGCAGCAGTGTGAGTGGGGCGCAGATGGTTCCCTGGGACCTGTGGTAAGTGGGGGAGTCAGCTTTTAAGACGGCAGCCTGTGTGTAATCATGAAGGTTAACAGTGTACACAGTTAAATTTTCCCATCCCTACTATTTACCTTAGCTCACTATATAAAATCTTAGCTAAAATCAATCTCTTTTCTCCTTCCCTGTGCAAAAGTCACTTTCAGAATTTCTCAGAACATTAGTAATTAATTTTGCATTAGCAAGAACTATGGAGGTTTTGGACTTTTTCATGTAACCTTTTTCCCTCAGTAGATTGGAACTCTGTCAATACAGCATTTCTGATGCTAAATGGTTGTTGATCAAAGGGGAAAAAATTATAAAATTGGTAGAAGGGCACAGTCTTAATCCAGTTCCTAGCTGAGAAATGTTCACATGACAAGACCCACCCAGAGTGGCATCTCTATCTAGTTTTAGAAAAGCCAGTTGTTTTGTCTTGGTGGCAATTTCTCCGAAGCGAGGATGAAGGCACAGTGCCAAGATACTGCTGTACAGGTTGAACCTCTCTGGTCCGGTAACATCCATGGCCCAGGAAGATTTGTTAGCCATATGTCTGTTTATCACGGATGTGGCCAAGTTTCCCAGAGTCCCATAAAGTTTGTTTACAGTCCCCAGTCCTGACTCTGTGTTCTGTGCTGTTATTTAGCTCTAATTAATCCTTAAATGTCTTCTGAGAGCCCAGTCAGCAGTGGAAGTGTTGGTAATGCTGCTAGACCACATTGATCTCCCGTGGTCTGACAAATTCTCTGGTTTGGCACTGGTTGGGTCCTGAGGATTCCAGACTAGAGAGGTTCAACCTGTATTGGTACTTTAAAATTGAAAGCCCTCTGTGCACAATCGCCATTACTTAAGGGATTGTAAGGTTATGAATCAAAGCTAGTTGTTCAGACTAGGGATGTAAAAAGAGGAGTTGAATAGTTGACTACCCGATAAGCCTTGGCTAATTGGGTAGTTGAGTCAACAATTCGCATTTCCATCCCTCTCCTGCTGTCTCTATCAGGGGAAGCAGGAGCTAGTGCTGGGGGGGAGGAGGTAGGTGGGTGTGGAGGGGGATGAGGCACAGTCAAGCTGGGTCTTGGACCTACTCCTGCTGCAGCCCTGCAGTTTAAATATAGTAGGAACAGGGCTGCCTGCATGCCCAGCTCCTACTACATTTAAACTGCAGGGCTGCAGCGACCCCTTATCAACTAATCGTGTACTCAATACAGATTGCATCGAGTACACAATTAGTCATTTACTCACTGCTTAACATCCCGAGTTCACTCTTCCACACCAATGTTACAAGCAGTAGTGTAGAGATGTTTTTGTTAGTGAGGCCCATTTAATGGGACATAATATGGTGACATTGTACTGTGTCTTTACAGCAGTCTCAATTTCCCTTGCCATTTCCAACAGATAACATTCCTAATGCCATCTGGATCTGGGATGTTCAAAAGCTGAAACTGTTTGTAGTCTTAGAGCAGTTGTATGCTGTCCAGTTTTTCCAGTGGGATCCATGTCAACCTCGACTTGCCATTTGCACTGGGAATAGCAAAGTGTACCTGTGGTCCCCAGCAGGGTGCGTGTCAGTGCAGGTACCAATGGAAGGTAAGGCTGCCTAAAATTACTGCTGCATGTCAGAATAATTAGTTTGTTTAATGTATATAAATGATTGTACTTTTAGTGATTAAAGCGGTCAAAACATCGTTATTTCAGTCATAAGTTTTCGGTACTTAGTCACAATCCCTTGATTGTAGGGAATATATGGGAAGAATAGCACAAAGTTTACATCAAGATTATTCAATTATTGCCCTCACATGATAATTGACGTGTAAATAGAAGCACTTTAAGGCGTTGCTTTCATATTTGTAATACCAAATGCTGAAACTGGAACTGTACAGAAATACCAGAAGCTCCACAAAGTAACAAAATCTGAATCTTAAATTCATTCTGAAAAGGCAGGGTTTTTCCAGCATGCAGGTGCATAGGAAGATCTTTCAGTTGCCTGGCATTATTAGCTAATTACTTAAGCCAAGATAGAAAAGATAGGTGTAAACTTTTTCTTCCATGGAATAATTACCACTGCAGTGTAAGGGCTGTGAATTTTTGTAACAGTTATTAGTTTTGTGACATTTACTTTCATGATATGGTCGTGCTCAAGTACAGTGGTATGTGCAGTACAAAATTCTGTTTGCTTGAGCTGATCTCTTACTGAGGAATCACTAAGATACTCCAAGTAAGAGAAGACTTCTGGAATAGAATATTGTAACTTTTGATTTCTTGCTGCTGCTTTGCTTTTTATCTGCAGGTGACTTCCAGGTCCTCTCGCTTTGCTGGCACTCTAATGGGGACTCCATGGCACTCCTGAGTAAAGATCATTTTTGCATGTGCTACTTGGAAAGAGGAGAGGCAAAATAAGAGCAGATAAAGGAATTCTCCTTCTGCACCCCATAAGGCTAGAAAAGCCTACTATGCAAATAGACCTTTGTAAAGAAGTGCTGCTATATCTATATGGAACAGATAAGAGAAGGCAGGCTCACATTGTTCAGTACGAAGAGATTTTGTACTAATAGCGAATCTTATGTTTGGGGGAGTAAGAAGACTCCCTTGTGTGAATTACTGTGACAGTTGAATGAAGTATGTTTGACAAAATAATTTAGCCCTTTGATTTTGCAACTAAAATTGTGGCAACCAGTAGTCTGGATTTTAGAAGCTCAAGGACTCGAAATTTGTCTATTTTCTCAAGTGGTATCTGTTTGTAAATAGTGTATAGAAATTATTTAATTTGTATAAATGTCAATAAACATTTTGATAGCTTCTGCTAGTGTGGCTATCATCTTTCAGCCCAGCACTCCCTTAAATGTTGATTTTTCCATATTAATAATCTACACTAGAACTGAGGTTTGAAATGGACATGTACATATCACTGTTGCTGTCATCCTGACTTCAAGTGGGTAGTGGCTAACTGCACACCATTGTACATCAATCTACACTCAGTATAGTGAATGCTCTCTATTGGAATGAAACATGGAATGAAATGCATAAAGTAGTTAGACCCAGAATAATTTTAAGTAATTACTTATTGCAGTTCTGAAGAGGGAATTTTTATTATTTTAGCCATGAATAAGTAAGTCATTAAGAGCAAATATGTGAGAACCAGTTTGCTTTAGCAGCTAAGTGTTAAACTAGTATCTTATCAGAGCCTGAACAGTGTTCTCAAAATTACATGTTTGTAGAACAGCATTTGAAAGATGGGTGAGATTCTTGCCATTACATCCCTTCTCACAGCTGTTTCAGGGACCAGAATTAATGACAGAAACGTGGAGTATTGGAGTGGATGGAATGGAAGTAGAATTCTAGAGCTACTGGGGAGAAGGGGTCTATCTTGGTCAGCATCCTGAGTGTATAATGTATAATCTCATATATGGTTTATATCTGTATTATACAACAACTGGTATTCTACCAATTAAAAACCAGAGAACAAACATGGTTAAGTTTAATCTTTACTGAAAGATTAACAAAAGCTAGACTCTGAGAAAAGAGCTCATACTGAAAAGAACATGCAGCCTGATGCATTCCAAAGCCACATTCAAAAAGAACACATACACAAGTTAAAAGGTTTAAAAAAAAATTTCCACTGCTGCACAGCATTTCACTGGGTTGAGGGGCAGAGAATTCTTCTGATAAAATTAGATTAAGACAACTTGTATAAAGGATTAATCCACAATGAAATCTGTCATTGTAATCTCATACTGTAACTCTGTTCAGTACCTTTGTATACTGCTGCATTTATTTTCTAAAAACTTAAATGGAAGAGTTAATAAGATGGAAGTATAATACTGTGACTAAAGCTTCCCCTTTCCCCAAAATCTAAATAGCCAAATGGGTTACAAAATCCCCTTACTTTGGTACGATTCTGGTCCATGGGAAAACCCTCCCCTTCCTCCCCAAACATACATTTTTGCTAAGTATTATAAAGCAACTCAAAGTAGAATTCCCTTCTAGTTATAAAATGCTCATTCACATGTTGCATTAAAAATATCACAGGAAAGCAAAGATATCCTTTACCTGTCTTTTTAAAATATCTTGAAATAGAATAACCGAACATTTCAGACAGCTGCAAAGAGAAACTATAAATAAGATAAACCTGTACATAGTTAGATTCAGATTTGATAGCAATTTGAGACCAGTGATGAGTCAACCAATATTTCAATTTACAATTGTAACAGCACAATTCCACTAGTTAGGATTAACACTCCCATTTTGACCAAATTAGCTGTCTGTCCCTTTTTAGCAGGTCTTTAAACATTCTTGACACTGAAAATTAAATTCCTTGTTTTACTGTAGTTTAGACATTAGTACAGGTTGGACCTCTCTGGTCTGGCACCCTCAGGACCTGACCAGTCCTGAACGAGGGAATTTGCTGAACCCTGCTACAGGGGCTCCGGTCCCAGATCTAGTGGCTCTAAGCTGCCAGCCCTTCAGCCACTGAGGATCCCAGCCAGGACTCCCTGGTCCAGGAACATGTTGCTAGACGAGGGACTCATGGTTTTTGGAGATCCAACCTGTAACTTCTTAGCCAATAAAAAAGTCAATCTCAACTGCACTTGAAAGGATTTGATAGCAACATTTACATAAGAATTCAGTTGCCACGTGGCATGAACATGCTATGTATCGATACTTGATATGATATAGAATATTTGTCACAGATAATTCACACTTAGTAAGGAAAGACACTTATCCAGAAATGTAAGAGGAAATATCATTGATGACTAGACTTGCATACATTTAGTTATAGTAAGTTAAATCCAGGGTACTGTAAGAATGCAACTACCTTGTGACCCCCTAAAATTAATAGCTGACTTAGCCATCAATTGACTTCATAAGAGTAAAGTGACTGTTCTGTGAAATGGTCACTTTCTGTAACTAACCAATCCCTTTTTATCCTTGCAATTGATTTGTTTTCTATCTTGTGGTGAGTTCTCCCAAATCTTTCCCCACAATACTCATCTCAAATCACTATCCCTTAGATTAGATTGATTACAATTAATTTAAAATCCAATTTTGCCTCTTGTCATGGAGTAGCCAAGCTTGGCCTCATTGGTGATGAAAGACATCAATCCCACGTAAGTTTCAATAAGAAGAGGACGCTCCAGCACTAGCACGCCATTGGCTCTCCCTGGCAATGGACACTCTTTGTGGGCTTTCTTCACAGCTTGGATTAATTGAGTCTTAAAATCCTCCAGCTGGAGGGGAAAAAAATTAAATATACTTGAGCTACTTTTGACAGCTTAATATTTTTCCATTATTTGAAAATCTATTGCTAGTTTGCCTATGCAGACAAAATTATACATAAGAGCCACTGCTACAGAAACAGATTACAACTTTAGATAAGCGTAAGTATACATATATCTTATAACAAGTTCTGCATGCTAGCATTTACTGTTGCAAGTTGTCTCAAATAACCTGCTTTCCTAAACACAAGAGATGTTTGCATAAAGATTGGCTATAACAGTGGTCCCCAATCTTTTGGGGCTGCCGGGCGCCCAGGCGCGGGGTCCACGCATGCGCCGCGCGCCTGGGGTGCAAGAACGGCTCAGGCCAGCTCTGGTCACTAGGCGGGTGCCCGTGGGCACCGCGTTGGGAACCACTGAGCTATAATAATTTTTTGTAATAAGCGCTTAGCTCTGTCAACTACTGATAAGGTAAATAAACAGATACTTTCATCTGAAGAGCTCTCCTTTAAAAAAAAAATCCAAGAGTCAATGAAGCACAGGTGCACACGTAAGAGGGGTTTATATTGTAACTACATATCATTTACTAGGATTCTTCTTGAATTACAAACTACAAATATTTTAGGTAAAGCCTAGACCACCTTCCAGGAAAGAAGCTTGATAGAACTGGACCTGTTGTTTTAAGGAAATGTTTTCCTCTTTCAGCTTCAACCCATTTTGTAAACTTGGAAATCACTGCAACCTCACTTTCGCTATGGGTGTGTCTACACAGCAAAGTTATTTTGGAATAACAGCCGTTATTCTGAAATAACTATGCGAATGTCTACCCAGCAATTCTGTTATTTCAAAATTATTTTGAAATAACGGACAGCTTATTCTGACCTGTAAATCTCATTCTACAAAGAATAACACCTATTCCAAAATAGCTATTTCGAAATAGCCCTTCACCAGGGCCATTCTAAAATATTCTTCCTGGGGCTCTAAATCAAGATAGCACGTCTACATTAGGGAAGCCTGTTTTGGACTAATTTTGAGGCTTTCCTGCAGTGTAGACGTGCTATTTCGAAATAACTGGTGCACATGATTTGAAGAGTCAACAAGACTCAACTGATACTACCCTGCCGAAATAAATGAAGGCACAGAAAAAGCTTGGCTAGTGTCTTTACAGCTAATATTTTCATCATCATACCATCTTTTGAAAGTGACAAATTCTTAAGAATTGTATCCATCTTAAATTATCAACATGGTCATATCTTATACAGCATAGAAAATATCCTTACTTGGCAAAGGGATGCAATCTTCTCATCAACATTTGCCATTGGATGTTCCGTAAAAGTTGCATAGGGCACATTTGTGGACCATGGATTCCATCTGTTTATGAAGGACGCACGGCTTTGCTTATCCCATTGAATTCGAATACCAATGCCTTCTCGCCTAACAAATTTGAAGACACCACATATTTGATAGGGCAGACCTTAAAGCTCTTTACAGGACAGGTTAATTAGAAATGGCTCCAAGAAAGTTTAACACCCAAATGAAAGCTACAAGGTCCATTTTAGAATTTTAAAGTTTTTCTAACATAGTAATAAGCAGTCTCTAAATACAGGTGGTCCCAGAGTTACAAATGCATCGACTAATGACCGTTCGTCCTTACGACCAACGTCCCATTAAGGCGGTCCCCGAGTTACGAAAGCGATTCGCACTTAAACAGCGTGGTCACATTTAAATGAATGGGGTCCGACTTACAAACAGATCGAGTTACGACCCAGTGTTTGGTACGTAACTCATTCGTAAGTCGGGGACTATCTGTATCAGCATAAATAAAATACTGTGAACAGTTATTTATATTAGCTCCCAAATTAAGCAAAGATGGTTTTAATGTTTAAGTTGTATGAAAAAGTTAAGTTATTAAAGTAAACATGTGGCCCTACCACATTTATATTCATACAATGTATTACATTCTGGTCTATGGTAAGACTAATATTCAATAATCAGATTTACAAGTTTCTAATATGCTAACAACGAACAACTGCACACTTGCTATGGTTGTTGTTGAAGACTAATAGCCTTAACAGTATAAACAAATAGTCCTGTGGCACCTTACAGACTAATAGATTTATTGGAGCATAAGCTTTCATGGACAAAGATCCACTTCATCAGATGCATGTAGTGGGAATTCCAGAGGAAGCTATAAATATACAGGCACATGAAAAGTACCAATCAAGAGGAAGGCCAGAGATAATGAGGTCAATTCAGTCAGGGAGAATGTGGCTCAATTTTAGCAGCTGATGTGGAGGTGTGAACACCAAGAGAGGAGAAACTGCCTTTGTAATTGGCTAGCCCTTCAGTCTTTGTTCAATACTACACTGATAGTGTCAAATTTGCAAATGAATTGTAGCTCTGCAGTTTCTCTTTGAAGTTTGTTTTTGAAGTTTTTGTTGAAGGATTGCTACTTTTAAATCTGCTACTGTGTGTCCAGTGAGATTGAAGTGTTCTCCTACAGGTTTTTGTATGTTACCATTCCTGATATCTGATTTGTCTGTTTATTCTTTTAGGTAGAGACTGTCCATTTTGACCAATATATGGCACAGGGGCATTGCTGGCACATGATAGCATATATTACATTGGTAGATGTGCAGGTGAAGCTGATGTGGTTAGGTCCCGTGATGATATCGCTGGTGTAGATTTCTGTAAAGGGAAATCCTGTCTTACTAATCTATTAGAGTTCTTTGAAGGGGTTAACAAACATGCGGACAAGGGGGATCCAGTAGATATAGTATACTTGGATTTTCAGAAAGCCTTTGACAAGGTCCCTCACCAAAGGCTCTTGTGTAAATTACATGGCCATGGGATAAGAGGGAAGGTCCTTTCTTGGATTGAGAACTGGCTAAAAGACAGGAAACAAAGGGTAGGAATAAATGGTAAATTTTCAGATTGGAGAGGGGTAACTAGTGGTGTCCCCCAAGGGTCAGTCCTGGGACCAATCCTTTTCAACTTATTCATAAATGATCTGGAGAAAGGGGTAAGCAGTGAGGTAGTAAAGTTTGCAGATGATACCAAACTGTTTAGGATAGTCAAGACAGAAGCAGACTGTGAGGGACTCCAAGAAGATCTCACCAAACTGAGTGATTGGGCAACAAAATGGCAAATGAAATTTAATGTGGGTAAGTGTAAAGTAATGCACATCGGGAAAAATAACCCCAACTATACGTACAGTATGATGGGGGCTAATTTGGCTACGACAAATCAGGAAAGAGATCTTGGAATTATCGTGGACAGTTCTCTGAAAACTTCCACACAGTGTGCAGCGGCGGTCAAAAAGGCAAATAGGATGCTAGGAATTATTAGGAAAGGGATAGAAAATAAGACCCAGAACATCTTACTGCCCCTGTATAAAACTATGGTACGCCCCCATCTTGAATACTGTGTACAGATATGGTCTCCTCACCTCAAAAAAGATATTTTGGCCTTGGAAAGGGTTCAGAAAAGGGCAACTAAAATGATTAGGGGTTTGGAACGGGTCCCATATGAGGAGAAGTTAAAGCGACTGGGACTTTTCAGTTTAGAAAAGAGGAGACTGAGGGGGGATATGATAGAGGTCTATAAAATCATGAGTGGTGTGGAGAGGGCTGATAAAGAAAAGTTATTTATTAGTTCCCATAATAGAAGAACTAGAGGACAGCAAATGAAATTAATGGGTAGCAGGTTTAAAACTAATAAAAGGAAGTTCTTCTTCACACAGCGTGTTTTCAACCTGTGGAACTCCTTGCCAGAGGAGGCGGTGAAGGCTAGGACTATAATAGAGTTTAAAGAGAAGCTGGATAAATTCATGGAGGTTAGGTCCATAAAAGGCTATTAGCCAGGGGATAAAATGGTGTCATTGGCCTCTGTTTGTCAGAGGCTGGAGAGGGATGGCAGGAGACAAATCGCTTGATCATTGTCTTCGGTCCACCCTCTCTGGGGCACCTGGTGCTGGTCACTGTTGGCAAACAGGCTACCGGGCTTGATGGACCTTTGGTCTGACCCAGTACGGCCGTTCTTATGTTCTTATGTAGATATGTGGCCAGAGTTGGCACCGAGGTTTGTTGCAGGGATTGGTTCCTGATTGGTGCGGTGTAAAGTTGCTGGTGAGAATTTGCTTCAGATTGGCAGGCTGGCTGTAGGCAAGGACTGGCTTGCCTCCTAAGGTCTGCGAGAATGAGGGATTATTGTCTAGGATGGGTTGGAGATCAGTGTTGGAGAGGTTTTAGCTGGGGACTGTAGGTGATGGCCAGTGGTGTTCTGTTAACAGAAACTGCAGAGCTACAATTCATTTGCAAATTTGACACTATCAGTTTAGGATTAAACAGACTCTGAATGGCTAGCTAACTACAAAAGCAATTTCTCCTCTCCTGGTGTTCACACCTCCACATCAGCTGCTAGAAGTGGTCCACATCCTCCCTGACTGAATTGACCTAGTTATCTCTGGCCTTCCTCTTGATTGGCCTTACTCTTTTCTTTTCATGTGCCTGTATATTTATAGCTGCCTCTGGAATTTCCACTACATGCATCTGACGAAGTGGGTCTTTGCCCATGAAAGCTTATGCTCCAATAAATCTGTTAGTCTATAAGGTTCTACAAGACTTCTTGTTGTTTATGCAGATTCAGACTAACATGGCTACCTCTCTGATACTTAACAGTATAGTTAACTTTAAAAAAAAAGTCAATCCTTACTTATTCAGTGATTTAGATGGGAATTCAAATTCTCCAACGGAAATAGTGTCAACTGCATTAAGTGATATTCTAGTAACCTGCTGGCACTGTAAGCTGATGAAGTCATATTTACAGATCAGAAGGGACCAGTCAGTGATAAGAACCAGACGCTCCTTCTCATTGTTCCAGTGGTCAACTCTGATAAGAAAAATGGAAGATTACCACAGTTTTTACTATCCACCTTGAAATTATTACCTAAAAACATGTAGTTTCACTAATACAATAGCAACTGAGAATTATTTAAACAGCAGTATTATTCTGTAGAAAATTATAATGGTGCTGTATTTCCCATTCATGGCCATTTTTGTATAGGATTGACAATAAAAGCATGTTTCAAATATTGACTCTTGAGAAGCTTTTAGCAGAAGATAGAGTTGATGTTTTTACAAAATTCTTTGAAAATAAAACTAAGGAGTCCTGGCACTCCCTTGTCTGTCTCTGCAAACACAATAAGGATGTTAAATATCACATAATAAGGTAATTGTGTAACACTGACCAGCTCTGCAGTATAAAGCTAAGTGAAGCTGCCTCCCTGGGGGGGGGGGGGGGGGGGTGACATTGTTAACCAATAAGCAGCTGCTTATCCATTAAACAGTCATTTACACTCAAACATCCCCAATATAGACTAAGACATGTACCCCTCAAAGAACTTTGTATTAACAGTCCTAAGCGATTAGCTACCCAGCCTATGAAATGTCAGCTACAACTGCTTACAGCCTTACTGACCTTCTGCCAGTTCAGAGCTTACTAGCAGGCACAGGATTGAAATTGATGAATTTCCTTGCTCTGTGAAGTGACTGGAGCTGAAGAACTGAGCATAGAGCTATAGTTTCATCCCTCTCAACACAGTTTAGGAAAGTTATCAGATGTTAACAAGACAAGTTATTGCAGCCTTTATTTTAATAGGACTAATGTTGGAGTCTTACCAAACTTGAGAATCCCTTTCAAACAATTAATTGCTTGGGCTTTTGATAAAGTCAGGTCTGTGATGTCTTTTCCAGTACTAAAACACAAGGTGGATGAGGTAAGACTTTTTGAGCACAACTATACTGCGTTTACTAGGTTTAAATTGATTAGCAATTGTATTTATAAGTAAATCATAGATGGTAGATCAGCTGAGGAGAGTTCTGGATATACTAGTAACTAAGACTAAGATTTTACAAATTGAGTCAATATACAAATGTATAAAACATTTAGTAAAGAGTAAAAATTTGGTTAAGATAAATGTTCCTGGATTAACTATATACTAAAGCCATGATTTTCCTACTAGCTTTACACAGCAAAGCAATACTCCAATTACATGTATGTTTCACATAGAGCATTTTCAAGTGGTGTGCAAATCCAGGAAAAAAAAAATCTTGTCCTAAACAGCTAAGTCCCCTTTGTCTATTAGTATTGCTACTTACTCAGTGAGCAACCACACACTTTGCACCTCTCCATCTTCAGTGGGCATCACAACAACACGAATCTCATTTACGGCCTGCTCTATAGTTCCAGGCTAAATCAAAAAGAGAATCTGTTTATATTTATCTTTTTACATATTCATGTTTGATATGTCTTGTTATTTGACATGTGAAGAGTTATTCTATATCACTTACCCACCAAGACCAGCCTGAGAGATTTGAGGGAGACCTAGCCAAGTTACTGTAATCGGCTGCTAGTCCAGGCCTGGGCAAAATACAGCCCATGAGCCACATCTGGCCTGCTAAGCCATGAGATCTGGCTAACGGAGGCAGCGGGGAGCCCCAGATAGGCTCCCCAGCTTGCCCCGCACACAGTGTAGAAACATGGGTTTCTGTTTTAAAACTGGAGGGGAAGTTTTAGGAGCTACCCCACCCCCAGCACATTCCTATTGGCTGGTACCTGGCAGAAATCAGCCAATGGGAGCTGCTTGTTAGAACAGACAGCTAAGAAGAATCATTCCCCTCCCCCCACCTATTCATGAAGCACACAGCCAGGTAGGCTGAGTGGGAAACATTTTAAACTGCAGGCAGGCAAGTTTGGCAGCTGACAAGTAAGTCTCTTGGCCACAGCCTGCTTCTGGCACCCCAGCCCTTTCCTGCCCCAATTCTTTGCTTTCCCCCTCAACATACTCAAACCCTTTGTCCCCCTCCCACACCCTCTCCCAGCTCTGGCACCCCAATCTCCTGCCCCAGATCACAATTCCCTCCTATCCCAGGTCACATCCCAAACCCCTGCCCTAGGTCACAACCACCTGCTTCAACCCAACTCCCTCCTAGACTCTAGTCTCCCCCCTGTACCCCAACCTCCATTCCAGGCCTCACATCTCCTTCATTAATATCATAGCAGACTGCAACCCTCACTCGCTATCCAAGATCTTGGAGTGCCCCCCCCCCCAAAGATTATTACCCACCCTGTGTCCTCCAGGCTTTCCTCCATCTCAAGCAATGGACCCTGTGTCTTCCTATGTTCCAACGGATCTCTCCGTTTTGAACCATTCTGGCATTTGCCATCCTTGCCCCAGTAACTGACCCCACCCCCTAGGGCAGGTATGTGGGGGGCTGGGTCCCTGACCATTGTCCCCAGGGATTGGGTTCCTCTGCGGCAGGGGCGCCAGCAACATAAACGTGGCCACCCCCGCTCAGCCCCAGCGTGCGTGTAGCCCAGGGCCCGCTCCGATCCCCCCCATCGCCAACCCCAGCCACTGGGGGACACGCCC